TATCAAATGAAAATCATCAGTATCTAATGGTAATGATAATATATGTCAAACAGGAATAGGCCTATAAGATCCATCAGTTCTGTCACGTAATATAAAATTGCACTATCATAAAATTTTGTTCTGCATTATTTATATTGACTAAACAAATTTATGAATCTTTGATAATGTGGAACAGTTTTTGTTATTGCTCAATTGCTTGAAAAGTTATCTTGATTAGTTACACACCTGGAGTTAGTTGTAACAGAATATTGGGGCTAGTTGTATCGTGTTACAGTATGCTCCAAGTTATAATTGCTTTCGTTTCCTGCACTACCAAAATTATAAATGAAATCAAAAATGTGAAACCAACACCGAGACTCGGAGTTCAAATTGCTCCAATCTACAAAAAGTTGCTTTTATGCCAACTTTGGTCTTGGTGGGCAAAAGGCGGTACCAAACAAAACTAATACAATTGGCGCCAAAGTTAATCTACAGCATGGATGGATAATCTTCGAAAAGAAGTTTTTCAAAATAATTTCTATATTTCTTCAATTAAATTTTTAATTTTTAATAATTTTTTTTTTAATTAACTTCCCGTATCCCGTAAATCTAGATTGAACAATTTTGCATTTCTTCACGTTTTGAAGGTTTCTAAACATTTTGGCATACCTCAGAAAAAAATTTCGGGCGCACGGATCGACCGATTTGAATGGTTTAAAAAACATTCGATTCCTATTGATAGCGAGATGTGCTGATCAGTTTTTGGCAAAGGCAGGTCCAGCCGTTTCGGAGGTACGAAGCAAAGAGTTTTTGAGAGAACGGTGAATCCGATTTGAATGATCCAAAAAGCATTCTTAAAAAGTTTTTTTTTTCTCTTTTATTTTATAATTACCAAAAATTATTTTTCTTACTAAATTTTATTCTTCGAATATTTCATTATGGTACATAGTATATATTAAGGATTTATTTTCTAATTAATATCATGTGTTTAATGGTTAAATAATCTGAAAGTAGTACATTTAAATAAGAATAATTTAATTTTTGTTATAAATTTCTAAAATATTATAGAAATATTTCCATTGAATATTGGTTCAATTCACTCGTTGTTCCGCTGCTCCTTACAGCAGAATTAAGAATCAAAATAACTCACGAAATGTAATTAATGTTCTAATTGTTATTAATAAAAGAAATAATGCCTGCCTGACTGAGATATGAAAATAATATGTCACTAAAGAAAACAAGAAAAAAGAAAAAAAAGATTAATTTGCTTAAATTTTATTAAGTGATGTCAATTAAACATTTTTCGATACAATAAATTTAAGAAAATGAAATTGAATAATGGCAAATCATTTGGTTTTGGTTATATCATGTAAACATGTATCAATCGATGAATTAATATTTTAGAGAGTTAATATTTTAAAGGACAGACCAATATATGAGCAATATTTCTATGCCAACTGATGGCGACAGACAGAAAATTATTAGCAACTTGAAAATACCACTATGTTTACGCCACAATAAAAACGATTGGCTTATTTCTACTGCCATTTGACTTTGATTGGCACGATGTCATATTCCAAAGTGCTTTTGGAACGTTTGTCACATTGGAGATGGGTTCACTGCGGAATAAACTGTGCGGGAACTACGCTATAATCTTTCGCATTTGATGTTCTGTGATTATCAAATAATTGCAGACCATGTCACTTCGAAATCACTCGGTTACAATTCAGTTCCACAATGTCACAGAGAATTAATTCTCTTTCAGATATATAAAATAGTATTAGGTAAAAAAGAGAAAAAAAAACGTTCTAACTAATTTCGCCAGAATATTAGGTTTGCTAATTTCATGTTTTTTCGATAGTTTAGTCATTTTGAATCGTTTGGTAACCTAATTTTAAAAATATATATGCACCAAAATTTGATTTACAGAACTATAATTGATAAAAAATAAAAAGAAATAAATGAACCGATTCTGCCGCACAACAGACCAATTGCAAAGCTATGTTATGAAGAACTTTCGATACTAATGATCGTGATTGCTGTGCAGTCAAGCGTTTTTCTCAGGTTGTCAGGTAGAAAACCTAACCTAGAAACCGCACAATTGTCAAAAAACGATCTTAGATTGCAGGGTCTTTCTGACCCAGCTTCATAACATACAAGTGACGTTGCAGATTATATGTAAAACGCCTAAAGGCACAGCAAATACATGACATTTTGACAGTATTCAGTATGATTCAGTAGCATAATGTATGGCAGTTGGAGCGTCACAAGCCTTGCCATAACATTCGTCTGTTGTGCAGCAGAATCGGTCCAAAAATCTAGTTGTAAGTGGATTTTTTAACTTGCTTAAGAAGTGAGGGTATGTTATAGTAATCGCAAAAAAAAACAAAAATGAAAATTTTTGCATATTTTTAGGTTTCAGAGGTTTCTGAACCTTTTGGTATACCTTAGAAAAAAACAATGTATGTATGTGTGTGTGTGTTTGAAAAAAACTTCCGATTCATACTGACGGTAAGGCGTACTTATTAGTTGGCAAAGGCAGGTTATGCAGTACCGGAGAAACGGAGCAAACAGCGCAAAATAACCGATTTTGAGAGAGAGTCACGTCCGATTAGAATGATTCAAAATATTGTATTTTGCTAATGTTTCAAAACTGTACGGAAAGTTCCGGCAATTTGCCTTAAGGCACAATGCCATGCTAGTTTCTTTTTGCATAAACTTTCCGAAAATGATATCTTGCCCTTGCAATAAAGCACTCAATATTAATATTAATATATATATATATATATATATATATATATATATATATATACATATATATCACTTCTTGAAATTGCAAATTCAACCATGATTATTTAGTAAAATAAAAATACATTTACCAATGAGGTATATCAAATCCGTCTGAATAACTGAAATCTACCTTACCAAGTAAATTAAAAAACAATTTCACTTTAACAGAATCGCAAAGTGCTGCTGGAAGCTCCTTCGCAATAATATTTTGAAATAGTAACATCAAATAAAAATATTTAATGCACTTCCATTTAAAGTCGGAAACTAGAATTTTAATTAATGAAAACGGGAGAATATTTATTTCTTTTGCGGCGTTGAAAAAATACGCCGTACTAACCGTTTCTTTTACGGAATATAATTCTCAGTTAATTGCATTTCGTTCCGACAAGAGGCGTTGAGATTTTTAAAGTTAATTTTGCGTCAAGTCAGAAACAAGCACCGCTTATAATTGAGTTTATGTACAATATTTATATTCAAAATAGGTTGCGGGTTGATGATTCGCTCGGGCGTGAAAATATAATAAAATTGCAGTCAAGTACGAGGTGAATTCATAAGGTAATGGCTGCAATTCGAATTATGCACCTAATTGAAATGCTATTAAATGCATATGGTTACATATGTATATAATTGCATTCAATAATTAGCAAATTAGGAGGCAAATGACTTGTAAAAAACTGATTTTGAGATAGGGTCCAAGAGGAGAAAGATGAAGTATGTTGGTTCAAACAAGTTCACATTATTGCAAATGGTTAGAATGTATTGTGTTACTATGATTCTTATGTTTCTGGTAACAAAAGTCGTTATAAAACAGTTTGGGGTTTATGACTATCTTTCTAACTTTCCGTAGTTTTTTTGTATAACGTCGGGCTGAATACCGTCTGGGTATAATGCCGACTAAAACCTCCGCTTAGCCCTTGCCTCTGGTCCCCAAGGAAACCGCCGTTAGGCATTACTTCATGGGGGCAGGATCTAGAATGCCATCATTCTTGCACGATTTTATACTTATCTTTCAAATGAGTTCCAATCGCCCTTTATATTTTCATAGATCGCAGGTCAATTAGCACTTTCCGTAGGATAAGTTAATGTAATCGTTCAAAAATCGAAATTAAAAATTTTTGCTTATCATCACGTTTCAAAGATTTCTGAACATTTTGGCATACCTTAGAAAAAATGGACAAGTATGTGTATGTGTATGTATGGATACAATTTTTGTCCACGTTTTTAAAAAGGCAAAAGGTAAGTCCATCGGTTATGGAAGTAGGGAGCAACTAGTGCGGAAAAGAACAGAAAATCCGATTTTAATGATCTAAAAAACATTCAATTTGTAATGGAAAGAAGTGGTGATTAGTTTTTGGCAAAAACAGGTCCAGCCATTTCGGAGATACGACGCATCTGATTTGAATGTTTCAGAAATTTTCTGTTTATGTTGACGAAACGATTGCTTTTGAGGAAAATTTTTCTCTCTTCCTCATATTTTCTTACCTCATTTTTTTAAATGTCCAAATTAATGTTGAAATAGCTATTTAATTTACTTTTCTTTCAACTCACTGGCAAATTAACAAAATTATTGCTGATCAATAAAAAAAGTGGTACAACCATACCCAGTCTCCACTACTACTTCAATTTTTTTAATAATTACATTTTTATTAACTGTATGGATCTTCTGATCTTAATAAATTATGTATAAATACTGCAATAGATACGATTGTAAATTTTTATTAGGCACTGCAATGCATACTATTTACATGTAACTTTCATATAAAACGGCCCTTCTACAACACGGATTCACTCTAACGCGATTTGAGAATGGTTAATACCCCCTTTTAGCATAGTACTTTTAATATTGCAGATTATTATTGATCTTATTGTTTGAGATTATTTGGATGGAATCTTACCCATCTTTTGAACTGTATAGAAGATCCAAAAAAGTTGAAAAAATAATATTTTCACTATATATAAACTTTAGAAATTTCTAAATATTGATTTCTTAAAAATATTGTTTTTAAGAATCAATATGGCAATTCATTATTAAAGCGGCTTTCATGAAAATTCAAATAAATTTCAAACATATATAATATAAAATAATTAAATGAAATAAAATAATAAAATTTATTCTAAAATGCGATCAATCAAAGATAGCCATAATACAGCTTGAACAAGTTGTTATTAAATTTAAAAAATCTATCATCAGTGACAGTTTAGTTCCAAGTGAAAGTGTTTTTAATTGAATAATGGCGCGATTACCAAGTAAGTCTTGATAAACTTAAGATATTTATATTATTTTTACAATATAATATTATATAATTATATACGGTACCTTGGGAAATGAGATTTATCAATCACCTTATCAATCAAGAAAGCAGAAGCTAATTTGCTAAAAAAAACAAAGTCTTAATCCTTGAAAACTTGGAGCAATTTTTTACTATAGACCAAGAAATGTTATCCATGGTTAAAGTTTAAAGTTTAAATGAGCAAAATTAATAAAAATTAACCATAATAACGAAAAAATTATAATTTTACCAAAGCTCGAAGTTGACTTAAAAGCAGTGTTCGGACGTCTTTTCGTTTTATTATATTGGCCATGAAGGTGACAAACTTCAGGGCATTAAGCTTTACACGGAATGGTTGCTACCCCTGGTAGAGGGGGTAGCAGAGTGTTTTAATTGAACTAGTTGTTCACTTCTAAATGTAAAGTCCGCTTAACAACATGTAAATAACCAATTAAAATAAATATATCTTCTTTCATTATAACTTAGTAACAAATCAGTGATTGTAATTGTAAACAAATCAGTGTTTAATACAGTCCACAGCTACAAGGGTTGAATTATAACCCAACAACCTGAATTATCGAAGGAGAGTTTTAATAAATTATATAACTACGTAACAAAAGTACAAGCAAATAATTTCCAAACAACGTGAAAACTTTTTTTTATAAATTTTTTCAAGACAGTTAAAAGGTCATTTAAAATTAATATTTATCCCAATAACTTTAATTGTACGTGTACATCTATAATATTATTACTGTAAAACAAATCTAATACACATATTCATATGCATAAAACCTGTATGATGCATATACATCATATCACTTAACCGTATATGATAATTCTTGACCTACATCCATTTTTCACCCGTAAACTCCAATATACAACCCGCGAGTGTCATCGTAATGCATATATCACAATGATTATAATTTCATATAGCAGAGTATGAAAAATATTTCATGTGATATTACAAAAACGTTCGTGAGACTGATCCTATTAGAAAATATGGAAGCTTGTATATTTTCATATTTTAACATTTCACGTCTAAAGGATGAGATTTATTCACTCTTCTAATGAAAATGGATAACAAAGACGCATAAGTAGACTAATGCAAAATAATTTACTAATTTCCAAAAATAGTGTGAATGCTCATTCTGATATAGAAACACGATTAGGGAGTCAATTCTTTGATAAAATAGACATTATACTACATGGACTACTAGTCCTCACACATTTTTCATTTTATAAAGAGTCAAAAGATAGAAGGGGACTATGACGTCACTCAGTGAACGAGCATTGCCGACAATGGTAGACACTCCCGATTGATTACATGTCATATGTCACGTGATTAACCTAAAAGTAAATCTTGTGCTTGAAATTTTCAAATTGTTGCGAAGAAAAAATCAAATTGCCATATGACCAAACATCTTATAATAATTTAAATTCCAATATAAAATTTTTCAAAAATATAACAAAACTAGTTGGTATTGGTATTTTGCTTTGAGGCAAGTTACATGAACTTTCCGATATGCGTAAATAATCGACTTAATCAATAAAAAATAAATTAAGTTATGAGTGATTAAAAGTATTCCGAGTGGATTTATTACACATAATTGAAAACGAACAAACACGTTAACTCGTAGTATTTTCTAAAAGCAAATTTTCAAAAATCAGAAATTTTTATAGTTGCACCAGTTTTCGTAGGACTTTAATGGTTTAGTATATCCATTCAGACCAAGTACTCTATCGCTATACCAAGTAAATCATCTAATTTTAATTTTAACAAACGTCAAAAAACTACTTATTTTCTTGAGTTTTGATGAATTTTTAAAATCTACTTATCGTAAGGCCAGAATATTTCAGTAAGTTCTATAAGACCATGATATATATCGCCAAAAAAAGTTCCATAAAAATCGGCTTAAATTTTGTTTTCAACAGTTAATTACCACAAAACGGCTCGGCAGATTTTCACCTAAAACTAATCAGTATCATTCCCAACTAATATCCTTCGAACAGGTTTTGATTTTTAAAATCGATTCGTTGGTATGAGCTTACATGTGGACAAAAATTTTAACACTTTTTTCCAAATTACAAAGAAACGGCTCGGCAGATAGTCGCACAAAACTGACAAACGACAACCCTTATCGAGATACATCAAATGGCTTTTAAATTTCTGAAATCGGTTTAGGCGTTTTTGAGAAAACGTCGATGTAAGTTCTAATTTTGACAAACGCCACAAAAGCGATACTGAATTTTGCAAACTTTGACGAATTTTTAAAATTAAACGATTTGTCCCACGGCGGTAATATTTTAGTATGATCTATAAGGCTATGGTATCTACCGTCAAAAAAAATTCGTGACATTTAATCAATCCGGAAAGTTCCACTATTGTCGGCAACGTTCGCTCAGTAAGTGATGTCAAAGTCCCATTTGTGCACTTATTTTGCGCTGGACTAGCAGTCCACTTAGTAAAAGGTCTATGAGTAAAAGGACTATTAGAAAAAAACGTTGCCATAAACAACGCTGTTACAGGTCTATTTAATTGAAGAATTAGGTCTAGATATCTTTGAAACTAACCACACTATTAAATACCAGACAATTTTAAGATTCATGGTAATTTGAATATTCCATTTCAGTCTTCTACTGCAACAGCAAAACTTTAATTTAATTCCATACGAGAGAGCATAATATAAAGCTATTCATATTAAAGTGTATGCTTATTTGAAATTAATTTTTTATTGTTGATTAAAATCATACCATTCTTTAATCATCATCACCGCTTTTCCCATATCGGTTGTAAAAAATCATTAGAAGAAAATACACAGAGAATTAATTAACTGCGCTATGGTTTTTCGCATATGCATGGCTATAAATTTTCTCATATTAATTCCTTATTCAGCATATTAATACAATGCAACTACCAGGTATGAGTATGTAATTACATAGAGCCAGTACATTGGATAAAATAACTCTTTACTTTTTATGTATGTGGTATGTTGTTGTATACTTCGTTCGATACCAGGGATGCCAAATGAAATCGAGCATCTTATATTGAAGACGATTCACAATCAAGAAAGCTTAATTTTTAAATTTAATTCTCGATTGATTTTGAACCAAAAAGCTTAATGCCACTAGCAAACTTACAAACAAGAGCGAAATTTGTAACTACAAATCCAAATAAGAACAAATTGTGCTTCCAAGTTAAAGTAATCGCAAAAAGGCAAAAATGAAGTTTTTTGGCATATCTTTGTTTCAAAATTTTCTGAACATTTGGGCATAACTTAGAAAAAATGAATTTATGTGTGTGTGTGTATGTAGTAAGCATCTATGTATGTATGGCGGAATGAACACGGCCACATGACACATGTCAGTTGATTGACGCCAATCGAATATCATATCAAGCAAGCTACAGCTAGCGGATTGTTTTTAAACGATCGGAAAATTATCTCTCATTGTTTTAATACGATCGAAAAATTATGTATCGCGTTTTTAAATGATCGAGCATTTTGTCGGGATCAAAATTGATATTAGATTTTATGTAATATCAGTTCCTTTATTAATTAAGATATCAATAAACAACCATTGCCGAGTCTACATCAAGTAATTGCGATTTCATTTTAAGATTTAATTAATAAATAATATATGGCTCACTTATGCCATATATGTTTGAATGATTTGAAAAGCATTCGATTCATATTAATGGGTAGACGAGTTGCATAGTTTTTGGCAAAGGCAAGTCCAACCGTTTCGAAACTCGTACTCGTACTTCCCGTAGGGCAAGTTATAGTAATCGCAAAAAAATCCGAAATGAAAATTTTTATATATCTTTACGTTTCAAAGGTTTCTGAATATTTTGGCATACCTTAGAAAAAATGGATGTATGTGTGTGTGTATGTATATGTGTGTGCGTGTGTGTGTGCGGATACAAATTTTCGTCGACGATTTCGGGAACACCGATCAACCGATTTGAATAATTCAAAAAACATTCGATTCGTATTGATAAGGAGACATGCTGATTAATTTTTGGCAAAGGCAGGTCTAGCCGTTACAAAGATACGGGGCAAAAAGTGCCAAAAATGGTAACTCAGTTTTTAAGAAAACGGAGCGTCCGATTTTAATAATTCAAAAAACATTTTACTTGTATTGACAAGATGAAGAATTGATCAAATTTTGATGTAGGCAGGTCTAGCGGTTTCAATGATCTAATAAAAAAAGTAAAAAGAAATGCCATTTGGCGGTCAAAAATGATCATTATACATTAGCACATCAAATTATCAGATATTTTATAGAGATTTTAACAATAAGTATAAATTTTGTTTACTTTCCTATGGGTTCCGTATCAATGTTTAACCGTTAGACGGCGACGCGGCGCTTACGCGCTTCGATATGTCGTTTATATGCAGTTAAAGCAGTACGACTGCTTCAAAAAAAAGTCCAAATTTCCAAAATATTTAAAAAAGAGTAAATTTTTGTAAAAAAATTTATAGTTTCTCAAAAATCTAATTGTTTCAAAAATGTTAATCTTTTTAAAAAAATTTTTTTTTGGTACGGGATGTTCCAGCAATTTGCCTTAAGGCACGATGTCATTCGCCCCACTAGTTTCGAAGTTAAATTTTTTCAAAAATGTTAATCGTTTTCAAAAAAAAAAAAAAAAATTGGTACGGGAAGTTCCAGCAATTTGCCTTAAGGCACGATGCCATGCGCCTCACTAGTTTTCAGTATTATTTCGTGTTTATAATACGTATACAAATGTTTTGCGTCTTTAGGTAAAATGACATTACTAGAAATAATTTTAACTTCTTGAAAAAGTTTATTTTAGAAAATCCAATTTTAATAATGTTTTAGTTTTTCGATGTTGCAAGTGAATCTTAATCGTTTGACACTAAAATTGGTCACCAAAAAGTATATGTGTATATTAGGATGGTCCTTAATACGAATGTTTTCAAATTTCCTTGCTTCCAAGGGGAGGTATTATGGAGTTTC